GACGGAGATTGGGGGTCTGTGCCATCACGTCATCTTCAAGCTGTCTTCCAGTGCCCTGCGAAAGTCTGGACCCCTGAAAACCTTTCTTAGGGGATCCCACTTTAACACAGGATTACCAAGGTACACTGGGAAACATATCCCGGGAGGGACATGCTACCAGATGCCTACCGAAGGGAGGACTTACAAAAACGCATATGGCCGCATAAGAACACATATGGAATCACTGGAGCACCAACCGCAGGTGGCTGCTAGAATTTAACTCCAGGGGTGGCAGATGGCTTGCCAAGGGAAGACACATGCTCAGAGAGGCTTACAGTGAATAATACACATGAGACGGTTACCGTCGGAAACCGTGCGCATGGAGGCACCTAGCCAGCATCCAGAGCAACCGCAGTGGTGCCCGCATCATCGGTGCTGGAGGACTCAAGGCTTCAATGGAAGACACTGAGGGAATATCGCACTTATCCAGTCCGAGGAGTGGAGTGGCGAGCAAGCGAAGACACCTAAGCGGGTCCAGTACCGGCGGAAACGAGTACGTGAGAGGACACCGGCTCAATTCGCAGATTATAGAATCTGGCGAAGGTGTTGGGTGTCGCCCAGCCTGCAGCTCTGCAGATGTCTGTTAGCGAAGCGCCGTGCGCTAAAGCCCAAGACGAGGGCACACTCCGAGTGGAATGGGCCCTCACACCAAGGGGGCACGGACGGCCTTGCTGCTGGTAAGACAAAGCAATGGCGTCCACTATCCAGTGGGACAGCCGTTGCTTTGAGAGAGCCCTTCCCTTCTGGCTCCCCCCATGACAGACAAAGAGCTGGTCTGAGGTCCTGAAACACTGCGTTCTGTCGACATAGGTGCGGAGAGCACGTACCGGACAGAGCAGTGCCAAGGCTGGGTCTGCCTCCTCCAGGGGCAGTGCTTGCAGGTTCACCACCAGGTCCCGGAGGGGAGTGGTAGGAACCTTGGGCATATATCCAGGCCGGGGTCTCAGGAATACGTGAGAGTAAGCCGGCCCGAACTCCATGCACACTTCGTCAACGGAGAGTGCGTGCAGGTCCCTTACTCTCCTGACACACGCACACGGCACACGCTCCCATCCGCACCCTCAGAGACAGAGAGGAATGAACGGGGCGACGCACTGGACATCGTGCACGCTTATTCCAGTCTGTGTGCTCAATGACAGTGTCAGCTTTTCCTCAACCAGCTCAAGGAGCTAGCTAGAACAAAAGATTCTCCACCGGCCCTCCACCGGGGAAAGGAGGGGCCCTGCTACCACCTCCTGAGAAAAACCATGACACTATCACTGAGCGGCCCGCCTCAAGAACATTGCTTCGCCTGGCGTTTAGCGGGGCACACGGCCTGAGGGGGGGGGGGGACGCTTACCTGTGGCCTCCTCCGCGACGCGAACCGGCTGAAGGCTGCTGCTGGGGCCGCGTGGGAGGGAAGGGAGCCGCAGGGGGGCCGTCCTCGGCGGCGAGCGGGCGGAGGCGTCTGAGCCGACGGCTGGTTGGAGGCAGCAGCTGGCCGTCGGGGCAGAGAAACCGCCTTTGTCTGCTCCTAGGCGGTCGAGAAGTGCTGGGCAAAGTCCTGGACCGCACCGCCGAACATTTGGATGATGCTCCTGGACCACAGCGGTGGGCATCACCTGACCAAGGGAGCGAGCGACCGCTTCCGTGACCCGTTTAAGGGCAAGGTAGGCGGCAGGCTCGCAGCTCGCTTGGTCCGTCCTCTCCTCGTGCACATTCCTGAGCAGCTAGCTTTGTAGGTGCTCATCATATGCAGGGCGGAGGCTGCCTGTCCCGCCGCTCTACAGAATCGCGCCGCCATAGACGACAAGAACCCAAAGGCTTTGGAGGGGCATCTGAGAGCAACCGCGGGTGGACGCGCCCTGCGGACGAAGCTGCATCGCAACAGAGCGTTCCACCGGGGGAGCCCCAGCATACCCACAGACAGCCGCATCGCCGAGGGGAGGAAGGGCGCGGAACTGAAGCACGCTCTCGTTTTTTTTTTTTTTTTTTTTTTAAGTGCGTGTCAGTTCCGCATGCAACTCGGGGGAAAAAGGAAATTGGGGTTGGCCGTGGCCGTGGGGCGGCAGCGTTACCCAAAAACCAATTATCCATCCGCGAGAGATCGGGATAGGGCGGAGTTCCACCCCCACCCGATGCTCACGGAGGCCCGAGATAGCATGGCCATCATCGCGGGATCAGACACGGCGACGCCGACGCTCCCGAGGGAGGCAACGCGACCACATCCTCACTTCCCGAGGAGTCAAGCCCGCCTTGTGATGCTGCGATCGTCATCGCATCATTCTCTGGAGCGCTGAACGAAACAGACGGTACCTCAGAGAGGCAGACGTCTGAAGCGATACAGCGCTCACTGGCTCTAACACTGGAGCGGTGGGTGTGACCCGAGGCTTTAACTAACGTCGGGGGGAGTGTCACTCATTCACCGTCATATCACCCTATCCGCGAGTCGAAGAGCTTCTATTTTTAGAAGCAGAACGAGTAACGGACACGGGGACTCTCACTATCAGATCATTGAGTCTCGATCACAGTGTAGAGATGCTCATGTTCCCCTTTAGAAGGAACATGAGACATCCGCGAACGCTGCTACTGCATGCTGAAGCCCAGGCACACACAGAGCAGCGATCGCGACCATCAGAAAATGACATGAAACGACCGCACCCAGAAGAACACGGGCGAGTCGTCTTTAAAAAGACGTGCCGCGTGCAGCTCTTTCACTTAGAGAGGAGGAAATTCACTATTTCAGCGCTGAGGCGACCAAGGAGAAGCGCAAAGTCTGGCAGACCACTGCTCAGATCGCAGGCAATGCAGAGTCTCGCTGGGTACCGCCATCACACCAACACTGAAGAGGACGCTCGTCTCGAAGAGTCTTGAATCAGTGAGAATGGCTTGAGGAGTGAAGAATTCTCTTGACTCCGAAGCGAAGACATACTGCGGTTGCGTTCACTTCCTCCTTTTATACTCACGGAGTAGGGCGGAGTGCGCTATGCAAATTTCCGCAGCCCCAAGGCATTGCATGCCATTGGCTCGTTATTAAATACTCGAAGAGGATTGGCTTTCTATGCGAAACCCCCAATCTCCGTCACTTCTGACGTAACTCGAAGTGACTACGAAAGGGAACTGTGCGTGTCAGTGACCTTTTTTGGAGGGATAAGTTTTAGCATATATTAATGATATGGCCGACTCCTGTTCATTGAGAGTTCACTCCATTCTTGAGAGTAACCTGAGTGCTGAGCTGGCTTCTGTGAACAACTGGTTGATTGACAATATGCTGTCTCTACATTTTGAAAAGACAGAGGCTATTCTGTTTGGCTCAAAATATAAACTAAACAGATGCTTGAAAATTCAGGGTTATTTTGAATAATATTGAGGTCAATACAAAAACATCAGTAAAATACCTGGGTTGCATCCTTGAAAACAACTTGGATGGCATTTTGATTGCCAACAAGGTTCCGAGTAAAGTCACTGGGCTGAGTTTTTAGCTAGAAATTCTGCATTTTTAGATAGGTCAACAATGATCATTTTAGCTAACGCCTTAATTTTAAACCAGTTTGAATATGCATGCACTTCCTGGTTTGAAGGCCTTACAAAACGACTTAAAGGAAGGCTGCAAACAGCTCAAAATAATTTAATAAGAGTAATTCTAAACATGGGCCACAGGTCTCATGTAGGTAGGTCACAATTTGTTGAGCTTAACTGGCTTCCTGTTGAGTCACGCGTTATTATGTCAAGACTGACCATGACCCATAAAATATTGTATGGTAAAGTCCCAAATTATTTGTTGGGTCTTATTACTAAGGTGAAGGACACACCCACTGTTTACACTCGTGGCAGTATATCAGACCTCTGTCCTTATGCATTCAAGACAATGTTAGGAAAAAAAAAAACCATTTGCCTATATAGGGGTGGAACAAGTTAGACCGGCAAATTAAAGTAATCTTAAGCATTAATTCTTTTAAAAAGAGGACCAAGGATTGGTTATTAGAGAGGGTGGCGAAATAGAAACAGGAGCCAGTTACCATCTATAACTCGCGCTGCATAGGCCCTATTTAGTAATTTTGCCTCAGATACAGGATCAACATGTTCGCGTTCACAAGCAGTTGTTCATTACCATGGCAACTGCTTGCATCTCATGCTGAATGCGATTTTCGTGTTAAAAAGTAACTATACATAAGAGATGGAAAGATGCAGATAACTATAACGTTACATTGTTTAAGGTTATGTCTATTTGTTACGATATTGATATATGAACTGTTGTCAATGCTTTCCCCCCGAGAATATCATGTTAACAACAATCCTTTGTGGAACCTCTTTCGTTTCTTTGACTAATCTCAGTGTCTCAGTCTCACGTACGCGAGTTAACCAAGTTCGGCACATTTAACTGGGGATGGGGCCATCCACACTGTTTTATCCATTGTAGGTACCGCTCACGTTGTGTTTTCGGCTTTGGAAACGGAAAGAACTCCTCCAGACAATCTCTCGGGGTACCTAATGTCCGAACAGCGTGGGCGCACTGCTTCACCATATTGCTTGGATTCAATGTTTGACGGACCTGCTCACATAGTAACGGCTGCTATGATGTGTGATTGGACAATGGCCATTTTGGGGGAGGGGCTGGCGAGAGGACAATTAACAGTTTTTTCTAGCATTTCACAGTGTTCCACTACAAAATAATGTTCTTCCATGCTGCAAAAGTCCTAATATGAAAGAGTCTCTTGTCACCTACAGAAGTTAACTTGTCAGTGCTGGGCTGACATAATAACAACATCGGAGGATTTAATTCTAAGTTCGTAGAACTTAGTGAAAAGTATATGACCAAGATTAGGGTGTGTCCATCAATTTGATTTATGTTTTTTAGCTTTTTCATTCCTTGTTTATCATCATCAGTGATTGGTTTATGACTGAAATTTTATATATTAAAAAATAGAAACTTGATGACACCCTGTTGAAGGTGAATGGGTTATTTGTGTTTGACATTCTAGGAGGGCTGTGGTCTGCCCTATCATTGATGTCATCAGTGATGAGACATTTGAGTATATGGCTGGCTCAGATATGACCTACGGGGGATTTAACTGGAAACTCAACTTCAGATGGTATCCAGTTCCTCAGAGAGAGATGGACCGACGCAAGGGGGACCGGACCCTTCCTGTTAGGTAATACAATTTCCTTTGAATTATATGCTAAATTTATAAAATTATGTAACTTATGTATTCTTATATATATATATATATATATATATATATATATATAGTATGTTTTGTGCTATATTATTTCTTTCAAACAAGAATAATGAATGACAACCGCTTCATAAAGACAACCTGCCTTCATTCCACATATTTGGTAAATGGTAAATGGACTGCATTTATATAGCGCTTTCACAGACCCAATGGCCACCAAAGCGTTTTACATTTTGCCTCACATTCACCCATTCACTCACACATTCATACACCGACGGCGGTGTCAGCCATGCAAGGCGCCATCCAGCTCGTCAGAAGCAGGTGGGGTTAGGTGTCTTGCTCATGGACACCTCGACACTTGGTCAGGTGGAACCAAGGATTGAACCACCAATCTTTTGGTTTGTAGGCAATCTACATGAACCACTGAGCCATTGCCGCCCCGTATTCCACATATTTCGAAACCCTCACATAATAGCTGATACTTTTTGTTTAATTGAGCTGACAGCAAGTAATGTAGGTGGCACAATACAGATGTAAAACTCAAATCTGATATTGTCAACTCTTTATACCAGTTCAATAATGACAACTCACAGAATAGATTTAAACAGCATTTATTGATAAGAATGAACACCAGCTCAGAGATCCATTCGTTGACGATCATATGTTGACCTGATTGGTTACAAGGTATTTTTTGACGTCAGAAACAGTCTTTGGTTCACTGCAGTTTTAAGGAGAAAATACTCAGCAATGGTGTTGACATGAATTTGCACATGGTTTGCCTTAAAGCACATTAAAAACACTACATAGACATATGAAAAACATTAAAAGCTTGATTTTCTCCACACGGATACTATATAAGAAAGCAAGGCTATGTAGATAGAACAAACAGAACTATTGGTCAAAGCAGTCGGTATTAAGAAAACCAATCAGCTGCTCGATACAGTTTCATGACTGAAATATGTATTTCTTTTATTAACTTGAGAATTTAAGAAAGGTTTTAAACTGCATTACCTTTAAATTTCATTTGTCACAATTTAATCAGACGTTTTACCGTTTATAGTACGACATCGATTATCTTAGTCAACGATAAAGCATTTTCCAATACCTCAACCATGCGTGATACACATTTTTGATATACATATTTGTAGAGGGGCCTATCGTACACCCGGCGCAATGCAGTTCCAGGCATGACTCAAGTGTTATCATTTTCACGTCCTATACCATATTGTTTATAGCAAATGCCCATTTGTATTATTGTTTTTTTTTGCACAATATACCCAAAAAACACCCATTACCCATTGAGAGAATTGGGACAACCCTTTAAGACCTTGTGCTGGCTGTGCCAATCATTTTTCCCATCGTTAAACTGGCAAAAGTGGATTTGGATACGTCCTAAGTGTGCTTGCGCCTTGTGCTTTTAGACCATGTGGTTTGTTTGTTAAAATAGGGCCCATAGTAATTCTCTATTCTGTATCCTATTTGAGACATCCACAACAAAAAAATACGTCGTCTGATGACATTTCATCATTGGCTTGCAGTGAAGAAAGTCTTTCAGTCTTCTGTGGGCTCTAAAATGTTTACACAGTGTACAAGGTTTCACATCACTTAACCTAGCTATTATCACTCTACATATACACTGTCAGATTTTTTTAATGCTTTAAAAAATATATATATTTTCCACAGAACTCCCACGATGGCAGGAGGTCTGTTCTCAATTGACCGAACTTATTTTGAAGAGATCGGCACTTATGACTCAGGAATGGACATTTGGGGAGGGGAAAATCTTGAAATGTCTTTTAGGGTAAGTTTAAGATTTTAAAAAGAACTCAAGGAAGGTCATAAACTCTCACATAGTCATAATCTTCTGGTATGCCATATTCGTTTCCATAAATACACTTTGTAATGCTCTTTTTACTGTAATTGTATGTAACCAATTTTTAAAACCATTCTGATTTAATTCCTTTTGTATGTGTGAAAATAGATCTGGCAGTGTGGAGGATCTCTAGAGATAGTTACATGTTCTCATGTAGGGCATGTATTCCGGAAGGCCACACCATACAGCTTCCCTGGTGGAACTGGTCAGGTGATCAACAAGAACAACAGACGACTGGCTGAAGTCTGGATGGACGAGTTCAAAGATTTTTTCTACATCATCTCACCAGGTAATACTCTTCATGAAATCTTTAAATTACACTTAACTGAGATGGACCTTCACATTATCTTTGGTAATCTTTGATTTGGTTGTTATTTCTACTACGTTCTAACACAACTAAAAGTAAAAGTGAAATTAAAGTTCCCATGAATTCAAAATTGACCATACTTACTTTGTTTGCCTAAATTGATCGTTTTGTGGTGAACAATTCATCCATGCAAGTCAATCCACACAAAAGCATTTTTTGGCTTCGTAATCTTTAATCAAAATCTGAAAATGCCCCTCATTGGAGGACCTTCCCTGATGACGTAGGTTTGACAGTTTGGGTGTCTGCTTAACATCCGTAACCACACCCCTCCAACTGACAGTAGACAGGATGCCTGTGTGTTTGTGAGAATTGACAGTGTGTGAGAGGAGAGATGGCGAGGAGGTGCATTTTTGGTTGTGGTACTCATGGGCAGTGTTGTGCAAGTTACTTCCAAACTGTAATACATTAGGTATTACTTGTTACTGTTATTTAAAAGTAATTCATTACAATATTACTGTCCCAGAATTGTAATGCGTTACATTACTCATGTATTACTTTTGAGTTACTTTCACCAAAATAACTAAGTAGAACTTAACTTTTGGGCTGTAACGATATGCAATATGAAACCGAAATTGCGATTCGCCACACGACTCAGATCCACGAACCTACAGAATCGCGACACACCTCTTCCAACTCCCAGCGTTATTCTCCTTACGTCCATATCCAATGCTGCCTTATCTTTAAATTAGGCTATTAGTATTATTTGAAGTTAACATTATAAAATACGTAGACCTACACCACAAAACTAGTTGAGGATAAATTATTTAAAATTGGGGAAGTCCAGCATTATGGACATGACATTTGCAGTCAAAACTTCTCAGAAAATTCATGTATTGAAACGTATATATGCTACTTCCTTAAAGGACTCCAGACATTAGACAAATATCAGTCTATGTTTTATTTTTAATATTAGGGAAAAGACACACATTCATGCGTGACAAAAAAATAGGAGGCAAAATACATTTTTTGTAATTGTGTTAATTACACTGCACAAATAGGATGAGGAAGGGTTGGCTCTCCAGTCTCCATAGAACTTAAAATATTCATTTTATTTTAGTTTTCGTGTTCGCATTTATGAGGAAAAAACAATGTTACAGATGCGACCGCTCTGAACTGGCACTAAAAGACTGCTTTAAAACTTTCACATATGTTGCCTTTAAGAAGTAAAAGCAGACAATACACTGTAATACAACTGTAATACAAGCCTCACTGAACATGTAACGAGTAAAATATTACTGAAAATTGATTAGTAATGCCTTACACTACTGCGTTACAGCAAAAAGTAATATGTTACTGTAATGTATTACTTTTGTAATGCGTTACTCCCAACACTGCTCATGGGTTAGTGAGTTACACGCAGGTTACTGTCATAACAATTTATTTTTTAAATAAAAAATAAAAATAGTTTTATAATTCAAATTAGTGTTACACCTACTTTTCTAGATCCAATCAGATGCTAGTTTGAAAAAAAATCCATGCACACTATTTTGCCTTATTTAGCATTCCGTTTCTCTCAGAAATATGTCACAACACTGGAGAAAATTTGTTTGCAACTTCCGGTTCACGGGGACTTTAAGATGATTCCACAATTCTCCTAAGCCAATTTTTTTCTCACAGGTCTTTATTAGTGTCATCATGGTGTATGGCTGTCTTTACAGAGATGGTTTCTATAAGTAGTGTGTTGATTTGCACATGTGGTCATGGTTGTTGTGAAAGACTGCAATTATCTTATCATTCAGCCTTCTGGGCCATTGTTGTGGTATTTTATTTGCTTTCTATAACCTGGCACAAACACAGCTCTCCTCAAGCTTACAAAGACAGTAGGGAATTGTAGCAGACTACATTTATTCAAATGCAATTCCTTCTCCACACTTCCTCTTATCTTCCTCGTCATTTTCCTTGTACCCTTTTCTTTCTCTTGCCCACTTGCACAAATTTACTTCTTAAAGACCCTTATGAAAAATAAGTACACTTTAACATAGTACTCATTACAAAAATAATATATCTGATAACATATAACTGGATGTAATTCAGTAATTTCGTATATGAAGAGTTCAGATGCAAAAGCCTCTAAGTGCCATTTGAAATTTTCTTCTAGAATGATCATTTTTATCAAGCTTGTATATTTAAGTTCAGTGATTTCACTTAAATGGCAATTATAATTACCTATTAATTGTTATTTAAGTGAAATTACTGAACTTAAATATACAAGTTTGATAAAAATCATCATTAAAGAAGAAAATTTCAAATGGCATTTAGAGGCTTTTGCATCTGAACTCTTCATATAATTACTTATATAAGTCTATGGTATTACGTATCAGGACAACATAAAAAATAATCTGGTCCTTGGCAGGTCTTACAATTAAGTAAATACAACCTCATCAACACATGACAAATTACACCGTACCATAGTTTATTTAACAAAAACTTGGCCCAAATGGAGAAGCAATTTGTGACAACACTCTTACTGCTTCCACAGGAATTAAGAGGGTACATGAAGAGTTCAGATGCAAAAGCCTCTAAATGCCATTTGAAATTTTCTTCTTTAATGATGATTTTTATCAAGCTTGTATATTTAAGTTCAGTAATTTCACTTAAATGGCAATGATAATTACCTATTAATTGTTATTTAAGTGAAATTACTGAACTTAAATATACAAGTTTGATAAAAATCATCATTAAAGAAGAAAATTTCAAATGGCATTTAGAGGCTTTTGCATCTGAACTCTTCACATATTCTCCAGGCCCTGCTAATCAAATGACTTTGATTAATTCATCATGCGTGACCAACTCTATAAAAGTAGAAGTTTCGGCAGGTTGCTGGTCGCTGGAGCATTCAGGTGTGTGTTAAAGGGTTAGTTCACCCAAAAATGAAAATTAAGTCATTAATTAGTCACCCCCATGCTGTACCAACCCCGTAAGACCTTCGTTCGTCTTCGGAACACAAATGAAGATATTTTTGATTAAATTTGAGAGCTGTATAACTACCACATTGGCTCCTAAAGGACTGCCTCTTGACGGCCCAGAAAGTCAATGAAGAAAATGTTTAAATATCCCAAGTGACTACCGTGGCTCAACTATATGTTTATCAAGCGACGCGAATACTTTTTGTGCGAAAAAACAAACAAAAATAACGAGTTTATTCGACTATTTCTTTTCTTCCTTGTAGGCCAGAACGAGACTTCCTTAGATTTCCACGACGCATGCGCGAGAATTGCGATCTGAAGTAGTGTAAGCTGGTGTGAGCAGATCGCAAATCTCGCGCATGCGTCGTGGAAATCTAAGGAAGTCTCGTTCTGGCCTACAAGGAAGAAAAGAAATAGTCGAATAAACTCGTTATTTTTGTTTGTTTTTTCGCACAAAAAGTATTCGCGTCGCTTGATAAACATATAGTTGAGCCACGGTAGTCACTTGGGATATTTAAACATTTTCTTCATTGACTTTCTGGGCCGTCAAGAGGCAGTCCTTTAGGAGCCAATGTGGTAGTTATACAGCTCTCAAATTTAATCAAAAATATCTTCATTTGTGTTCCGAAGACGAACGAAGGTCTTACGGGGTTGGTACAGCATGGGGGTGAGTAATTAATGACTTAATTTTCATTTTTGGGTGAACTAACCCTTTAACACTGTACCAAGAAGGAAAGACATCAGCAATAATCATGGAGAAGCAATTGTTGGATTTAAAGTCAAGTCAAGTCATGTTTATTTATATAGCGCTATTTACAATACAGATTGTTTCACAACAGCTTTACAGAGATAACAGGAAAATGATGCAACAAAGTTTGTTTCCAGAAGAAAATAGCGTCACAGTCAGTGATGTTTCATTTTTATTGTAAAAAAAGTTATCAATTTAGTTCATTTCTATAGCCGCTCTGGAGAAAACCTTGATTTCATTGTCCAGCTCAGTTCAGTTCTCATATAATGGTTTCAATGTAGGCAGATCAATATTGTTGTTGAATTTTAAATTAAATTGTTAAATTTAATGTTCCCAACTAAGCAAAACAAGCCAATGGCAACAAAAGTGGAAAAAGACTGTCGCAAGGAACCAAAACTCCATCAGGTGGCAAAATGTAGAAAAACCGAGGCTCAGTCAGGGGCCAGTTCTCAGTTTATGATTATGATTCAGGTAGCATTATAGGTCAGAAGTCAGATTGGTTTGGAACAATCAGAATATTATCTAGTTTTATTTGGATGAAGATGGGTTTGTTGAGAATCAGTGCCGATGGCTGTCGTGCCGATGAAGCCTTCACACGGGAGAGTCTAGTTGACGCAATCTGCTGACACTTCAGGGATGCGTTGTGGTTGTGTCTAGGTGCAGGTCCTCCATCTTGTCTGGATATGGCCCGGATCCAGCTGATGACATTAAACCTCAGATTAAGCACAAAGACTAACATTAGCGTAGATGTCATTCTTCTGATGATGTAACGAGTACATCGGGTGTTATAGGACATGTTCCCGGTTCCGCTTGACATAATTTATGCAGCCTAATAATCATTTAACTGATTTGAATAATAGGAATGTATCATTTTCGATGTGTATGCCAGGTTAAAGGAGAGCTCCGGCGAACAATGAACCTTTGGTCTAATAAAACGTCGGTACCTAGTCAACCATTCTCTGAGTTTTGTTTTCATGATAATCGAATGTAAAGAGTTTTATCTCTAAAAACTGTTTAGCGTATAATGCTAGTAATGGGGGCATTGAGTAAGTAAAAAGAAATCGCTAGTTTATACCACTAACAAGGCTCAAAATAGCCCCACACTCACACAGTAATATAATGAGGCTCCATACATGCAAAACGAAGCATTGAGAACTTTGTAAGTGTACAGACCGTTTAATAAGAAGATACTTTATGAAGACAGTTCACTTTGCGTATACAGACAGGAGCCATCTTAAAAAATAGTCTCGATAAGTCGATCCCCGAAC